CTGTCTCTGTCAAATAAATAAATAAAATGTTTAAAAAAAAAAAAAAAAGGATGGGTACTTCTTGAGAAATGGATAAAATTTAGGACTCAGGGCAAGTGTCCAGGCTGCTCAGCTCTGCTTTCTTGGCCACACAGCTCCATGGAGGTAAGGCCGGCGCAGGGCAGTGGCTGTCCAGGTGTTCCACCTCCTTGAATAATGGGTCCCTTCTCACTCTCCAGGCATCTTGGCCCCACCTTAGGCCCTTCAGAGCCCCAGGGTGAAAACAAACAGCTGAGGGAGCAGAGTGGAGTGTGTCCTAGGGTCGGCAGTCCCCGCGCCCGCCCCCCCCTCCGCCTGCACCAGGCACTGTGACACAGAGCACAAAGTAGAAATACCTGGCTTTGTCACCTGTCGGGCCTCGGGCAAGTCCTTCAACCACAGGAGTCTCACTTCCTCTGCTGTAAGATGGGGACCCTAATAGCCAGGAGGCCGGGGCACGGTTGACACAGGGCCAGTACACAATAAGTGTCCCAGATGTGGTGGGGGGAGTGGGTGCTATGATGCTGGGACCAGGGCAGGGGAGGGAAGGTCCTGAGGGTCTTGCCAAAGAGGTGGAGAAGGCCAAGGACCCTGGGCCCAGGAGCAGTATGGGAGCCAAGTCTCAAGGACGCGGCGGGGAGGTGTCAGCCCCACCCTGGGGCAAGCCCAGCACTTGGGCTAAACAGCAATCATCTTCTGCTCCTCAGTGTCTGAGGACTCTGCCCCCGGAAGTGGTGGCTGGAGCACACAATGGAGTTGGCCCTTACTGCCATGCTGCTCTCCCTCCTCCCTGTGGCCCTCCAGGAGAGCACCCCTGCTGTCCCAGCCAACCTCTCCCTGCCCAATGCCTGTGCCATAAGCCTGGATTCAGGTAGGACAGATACTGGGGTGGGGGGGACAGGCACTGCAGGAGAGAGAGCCTGAGTGTTGGGGGCAGATCAAGAGGGGTGTGTAATGCCTTCCCTGCCCCTTAATGCCCTGTGCCCGGGCAGGTCCTCTAAGGACCCCAGAGGTCGGGAGGGGGCTCTCCTTCGGACCCCCCAGACCTCCGCACCTTCACTGCCTCCACCGGCCAGGCGCAGATGATGCGGCGCGCGCTGTGCGGCAGGCAGGAGCATCGGACCAGCGGCTCACAACTCCCCTCTTCCCACCGAGCCTGCAATAACCACCCAGGTCCCCAGCTCCCACTTCCCCCAACTCAGCTGCTGTGCAAACCGCCCCCCCCAGGGCCACCAAGTCCTTTCCTCGAGCGGAGGGTCCTACATCACAAGGAATTCCACCTTGTAGAGCCTGAGGAGGGACCAGGTGCCAACCCGTGAGCGGCAGGGATTAGGAGGGTCGGTCTGCGGGTCCGGGGAGCGAGACGGGACCACGCCTAGCCAGCCCATGGGCTCCCCCTGCAGTGTGTGGACGCCCACGCGTGTCAGGCCGCATCATGTCGGGGCAGGATGCCAAGCCGGGCCAGTGGCCGTGGCAGGTTAGCCTGAGGGAGGATGGACAGCACGTGTGTGGGGGTTCCCTGATCGCTGAGGACTGGGTGCTGACAGCAGCCCACTGCTTCGACCAGTGAGTATCTTCCAGGGGCACAGGTGGGAGCCAGGGGTAGCCAGGACCGGCCCTTCACCCCCCACCAACACCCTCCCTTCCCCATTTAAACCACAGCCTTCGGCGCATCTTGCATTAGATGGGGGAAATATGCTCCTGGGGCGTCACTTATCCACCAGTCACTTATCCATTCCCACTGGCCACCTCCTAAGAAGTGATTCATTTCCCAGAGACCAAAGGCTCCCCTATGGGGATCTCTTGAGAAGCTGAGGCCTCCAGTCCACTCCTCAGCAGCTGGGCGGCAGTGACCGCCTCTCAAGCCTATTTCACACTCACCAGACAGGGCGGTGGGGTCCGTGTAGGGATGTCTAGAGGAATAAATGGGGTCCTTTTCGTTTCTGGCACGTGCTCTGCTTGCAAAGTTGTCCGTCTATAATGTTAGGACCCTCAAATCAAGATGGCCCCTGGCCCCCACCCATGAGACCCTGGGTCTCCTGACCCCTGGACTCTCCCACCTCCAGGAAGCAGCCCCTGTCTGCCTATGTCGTGCTGCTGGGCTCCCTCTCCTCCTACCCCCAGGCCGGGGAGCCCCAGGAGCTCCAAGCCGTGGCCCAGTTCATCACCCACCCAGAGTACTCGGCGGAGAGCAACAGAGGGGACATCGCCCTGGTGCAGCTGGCCTCCCCTGTCACCTTCAGTGACCTCATCCTTCCAGTCTGCCTCCCCAAACCTGGAGACCCCCTGGGTCAAAGCACCTGGTGCTGGGTCACCGGCTGGGGGAACGTCGACTTGAATCAACGTAAGGACACCCGTGGGGGGGGAGCAGGGGAGGGGGCAGGTGGGGACCGGGGCTGTTAGGGCCTCCCTAGGGCCCTCTCTCCTCCGGCACCTGCCACCACACTCATAAAGGGTGGACGTGGAGCCTGCACACACTGGTGAGGGCACAGCAGAGGGGAGCCACAGAAATACTGCCACAACCACGAATGAGCAGCCTGCCACCCCAGACCCTCCCTCGGGCTCCCCAGTCTGCCCTCCCAGCATGCAGTACCCCAAGGAGGAATGCCAGCCCCAGCTGAGGGCTCTGGAATGCTGGCCCAGCCTGGGGCCCAGACCCTTCTGACGCGCCAGGGCTGGCGGCCCTTATCTGGCTGGAGGATTCGCCACACATCACCCCTGCCCTCGTGGCGCGGGAGCCAGGGCCCGACTGCCTGGCCTCCATGCAGGCTGGGTGACCCCCACCGGCCTCGCTGGGCTGTGGCTTCCCCCTGTGACAAGCAGAGACTCCAGTGCTAACCTCGTGCAGGGGATGAGGCATTGCAGGCGCGTTCCACAGGGCGGGGCAGGAGTGAGGTCTGGGAACACAGGGCGGCGGCCAGTTGTCACCGTCAGCACGACCACCTGGCATCGGGGGCCCGGGCCGCCACGACAAACAGGCACAGGCCTGGGGGCTTCAAACCGCAGAAATGTAGGCTCTCACAGTTGAGGACAGTACGGGTCTGAAGTCGAGGTGTTGGCCGGGCTGGCATCCTCCCTGCTCCTTTGAGCGTCAGGTGGCACCTGGTGGCAGTCCCTCGGCTGGTGGCTGCAAGCCTCAGCCTGCCCCCATCTTCACACGGCCTCTCCCCTGTGTCTCTGTGTGTCCCCTGCCACCCTCCCACCCCCGGGCCTGGGAGGGCAGCCACGCCCGAGGGGAGCTCCACATCTCCGCACATGCCCCACCAGACGGAAGAAGGGGACAGCTCTTCCTCGGGTTTTGAATATTCAACACAGGCTCACCTTGCCCCCCACCCCCACCCCCGGGCTCCTGTGTCAGGGTTTCCTGACACCAACGCGGGCCCCGGATCCTCAGATCCTTGAGAAGCCGAGGAGTGGCATGCAGAAATGACAAGGAACGGCTTCTTGTCATCAGTCCCGCTGAGCGCGGGAGTGCAGGGACAGGCAGGCGGAGGGCCAGCAGGTGGCCGCTTGCCGTCTGAGCACTGCTCTGCTCCCCACCCCAGCACTGCCCCCACCCTTCACCCTGAAGGAGTTGCAGCTGCCCCTCATTGACGCCCAGACCTGTGACGCCTACTACCACGAGAGCTCGGACATCCCCATCGAGCTGCCCATCATCCTCGAGGATATGCTCTGTGCTGGCTTTGAGAGTGGCCAGAAAGACGCCTGTGGGGTGAGCAAGCCATCCCAGTGGCGGGGGCGGGGGGGGGGAGCGGGATCTCCCACTCCCCAGCACACCCGCCCCCGCCCGGGTGGAGGAGGGCAACGTTGCTTTAAATACCAGAGTCAATTCAAATAGAAAAGCATGTTCTCACACCCTGCCTCCCTTTAAATGTATCATATCAATATTATCAGAATGTGAAAAACTTCAAAAGTGCTTAAGCAAACTGTGACCATATCCCCATCCCTAAAGCTTTTCTTTGGGGGCCAGAAATGTCTTTTTTTTCTTTCCCAAAAAGAACCTCAGGGCCTCTGAGCAGATTGTCCTGAGGAGCTGGTCACTTCTGGGCTGAGTTGGTGTCGTCTTTCCTTGTCTGCTTTTATAAGCAAAAGACGCTTTATCTCACGCGCCCTCTTAGTATTGTTTTATCACAGACTTTTTCATCCAAAACGAAGCCAACAGCATTATTAGCAACACAGAAATGCCCCCCCGAGCCCTTACTCTGACATGCACGGTCGTATTTAGAGAACACAGCATTCCCCTGGCACTGCTTCTCCCATCTGCCAGAGATTTTGCCCCGAATTCCCAGACCTCTGTTGCCTTCCAGAAACATCCAACCCACCAATCCTCCATCCACTAGACCTAGCTAGCAGTGTTGAAGGGAGGCTGGTGGGCCTGGGGAGACCCCTGGGAACTTCCTTTCCCTCGTGGGCCCTACGCTTCCAGACTCCTCCTTTCTCCCTAGGGTGACTCCGGGGGCCCCCTGGTCTGCAAACCTGATGGAGTCTGGACCCAGGCAGGCATCGTGAGCTGGGGGTCTGACTGCGGCCTCCCCAAAAGGCCGGGAGTCTACATCAACGTCAGCATGTACACCACGTGGATTGCCAGCACCATCCAGAGCTCAGACCTAGACATGGACAACTCCTCTCCACGCCTTGCTGGGCTCTTCGTCCCCACCGTGCTGTTGGTTCTGGGGCTGCTGGGGGACACGCTTGCGTCCCTGGGGCTTGCCTAACCGGGCAGACAGCCCTGCAGACTCGGCCTCTGCAATGTAAACGGAGGCCTTTTCTCTGCTGTCTGCCAGCGTCTGGCAGGAGACCCCTCCCCAAACCCCCCTGGATGGCTGCCTTCCACCACCCTCCCCAGCCTCCACCCTCCGGGACCTTCTCTGGCCCCTCCCCTCCCCCCATCTCCCCCACTTCAGACCCCACGGCCCTCAGCCCAGCCCCACCTTTCTCGTGTCCCCCATAGGCCTTAAGCTGCCCTCACCTTCCCTGTCAGCCTGGGAACCCCTGGGGACAGAGCCTGGTTGTCCTGCTCCTCACCCACCATCCAAGTCTGAGTCCCAGGGTGCACGCACGTTCGGGGATTCCTGTGGGGCTTTGGGGGACTCTTGGAACTGGGGTTTCCAGCCCCCGGTGCTGTGCTGGTGCCTTTGCAGTCCTGTCTTAGATCTGAGAGGCAATAAACACAAGCTGGCCGGCGGAAGGACATTCCTCCCTGTGCCTCCGGGCCCCAGAGAGGGTCCAGGACGACATCTCCCATTTGCCGGAGCTTTTCCTCCAGGGTACCCCTGGATGCTCACAGCAGCTCTGAGAGGCGTACGGTACTATTATTTCCAGTTTTTCAGACAGGGAAACTGAGGCCGAGGGCATCAAGCTCCAGGGCTTGCGAGCCCACTCGCTCTGGCAACCCTGTCCCTAGGCTCAGTGGGTGGCAGAGCAACACATCTTGGGGTCAGGGCAGGGCTGGGGGCGAATCCATCCACCCCAGGCACGAGCCTTGAAGGCTCAGAGTCAGGCTGAACTTGCTGTCCCCCTCGCTCCCTCTTTCCCAAGCCTGCCTCTCCAGGGGAGCCTGGGACCCAATGGAGATATGTGAGCCAGCAGTGGCAGCGGGGGGGACGGGGCACAGGGCTGGGACCTCGGGCAGGGGCGGGGCAGGCGGGTTGTTTACATCCCGGGCAGGAGATGGGAGGACAGGAAGGTAGGCTGAGCCCGTTCTGGTGGGAGCCTCAACCTCCGTCCTGGGACAGCGCCCACCCCGGCCTATGCCTGGTTCTCCTGCCCACAGGTGAGCCGAG